AATAGCCATAATAATAATAAATTGTCAAGGGCTACAAATTACAAAACTATATAAATTTTTATATCAAAGTCATAACATATGGGAGGGTGGGAAAGTAGTTTTTGCATGCAGTTAAAGTTAAGTTGTTAGTAGCTTAAAATAATTCGTTAAAAGGATAGGACTTTTATGTAAGACTTGTAGTAATCACAAAACAAGAAACCATGATGATTGTATAATACATCAAAAAAGATTCAAAACATACAACCACAGAAAACCAACGAAACATGGAGGAAGGCAGGAAAAAGAAGAGAATGATCTCTAAAAGTAGCACAAAATAAATTGTAAAATGTCAGTAACAATTACTTATCTACAGAAAATAAAAAAGACAGACTGGCTTAGTGGATTAAAAAATACCTAAGATCAAAGTCTATTTCTTTCTGATGGAAAAGATGGCTGCCCTCTTCTAGTCTGTATTTGGATGGAATATCTTTTTCCATTCCGTCCCTTTCAGTACACATATGGCCTTGTTATTAAGGGAAGTCTTACAGGGGACGCTGTTAGACCTCAAAGGTGTGGGGAGGAGAGTGAGGGAGAGATCAAATTTCTAATGTTATTTTTTACAGTAAATGAGAAAAGAACAATCCTCGAATTCATATGGACCCAGAAGAGACTTCAAATAGCCAGAACAATCTCGAATGAAAGGAACAAAGCAGGAAGCATCACACCCCTGATTTCACACTGTACCATTCAGCGATGGTCATCGAAGCAGCAGTGATGGCATGAAAACTGAATCCTGAGCCAGGGGAACAGGATAGGAAGTGCAGGAGCAAAGCCACACATTTAGAGTCCACTGTTCTCAGACAGAAACGCCAAGGCCCACGATGAGGGAAAGGCAGTCTCTTAAATGAATGGTGTTGGGAAAGCAGTCAGCCACATGCTAAAGGAATGAAACTAGACCCCTACCTCATACTATATACCAAAATCATCTCAAAATGGATAAAAATTTGCATATAGGCCCCACTGCTATAAAAATGCAAGAAAACAGAAGGAAGGTTCTACTACAATATCTGCACAACATTTTTTATGGCTATGATCCCAAAATCACAGGAGACAAGAGCAAAAAATAAATGATGGGATCTCATCAAATTGCAAAGCTTCTGCAGGTGAAATAAACAGCAAAATGAAGAGTCAACCCAGAGAATGGGGGAAGATATTTGCAAACCATGCATCTGACAAGAGGTTAATATCTGAACTACGTAAAGAACATTAACAACACAAGAGCAACAAGACAAATAACTGGATTGTAAAATGGGCAGAGGACCTGCACAGACATTTCTTAGCAGAAGACACACAAATGATTCACAGATATATAGGCTTATAAAAAAAATGCTCACCATTGCTAATCATCAGGGATATGCAAATTAAGGCCAAAGGAGATATTACCTCACATTGGTTAGAGTGCTTTTTATAAAACACACAAGAGATAACGTGCTGTTGAGGAGGTGGAGAAAAGGAAACTATTAAACACTGTTTCTACCACCTTTATGAAAAATGCTATGGAGGGTTCTTATACAAGCTAACAATGGAGGGCCAAGGATTTAGCTCAGTGGTGCCACCGCCTGCCTCCCAAGTGCAAGGTCCCGAGTTCGATTCCTGGTACCAGAAAAAAAAAATGCTAATAATGGAAGTACGATGCTTGGAAGCCATCTACTTGTGGGCATAATTTCGAAGTGACCAGTGCCGAAGGGTTGCTTGCATTTCCTGTTCACTCCAGCATTACTCCCAAGAGCCAACACATGGAGTCACCCTGAGTGACTCCGTAAGCAGATGAAAGTATGAATAAATGTGTGTACAAACACAGCAGAATCCTACTCCGCCACATCAAAAAGGACATCCTGCCATTTGTGACCACATGGATGGACCTAAAAGGCAATGTGCTTAAGTGAAACAAGCAGGCACAGAGAGACAAATACTGCATGATCTTGTCCTATGTGAGTTGAAAACAGTCAAACTCACAGCAGCGAGAATAGACTGGTGGTCGTGAGAGGTGGAACAGTAGAGAGTAAGGAGTGATGTTGAATAAGGAGTAAAAGTTTATGAGGTAAGAAATAAGTGGAAACAAAGTCTTTGAAAATAGGGAGGGGTGGGGTTGAAGGGAGGGCAGGGGAGTGGGGGAAAATAAGAACCAAGCTACATGATGTAAAGGTACAAGATTCCAATGATGACTGTAACTGTATTGTATACCTAAAATGTACCAATAAAAGAATTTAACAGGGAAAAAGAATTTTCAGCTTTGAAATCTGTGGCATGGCAGCTTGACTATACTCAGTAATTATGTATGGTATATTTTACAATAACTAAGTTAGCAAATTGAAAATATCTTATTTCAAAAAATGGTAAGGGCTGGGGATTTAGCTCAGTTGCACCACTCCTGCCTCTCACATGCAAGGTCCAGAGTTTGATCCCCAGTACAAAAAAAAAAAATGATAGTAAACAATGTCATGAATTCGTTAATTAGCTTGACTTAAAAGTTTCACAGTGCACACATAGCTAAACATCATATTGTACCCCAGAAATGTAGACAATCATGATTTGCTCATTAAAAATAATAAAAATAAAACACCAAAATAAAGTAGTTGAAAATAGATTACCTATTCCCCTGTATCAATATATATGTATATATATATATATATATATATACATATACCAACCCACTTCTTCATTCACTGAAAAGAAAGTTTTGTGCTATTATGTATCTTCTCTGTAAGTGAAATCTTTTTTGTCTCTGAGTAACTACTTCAAAGATGACACACAGTATATTAACTACTGCTATTCTCTTATTACTTTGTTATGAAATTTTGTGGGGTTTTTTTCATACAAAATAATCTCCAAGCCTAAATCCTTTTGTCTGTGAAAAGTACTTAGACCTCAGTCGGGTGCCGTGTACATCTGCCGCGTGTCCCTGTCCAGTGTGTCTCCTGTTCACAGTCCCTCCCCTCCGCCAGTGCAGCTGTGTCTGCTCAGAGCAGGGTGCAGGGTCTGACCACACCGCTCCACTGGGGTTCAGCATGAAGCCTGCCGTGCCCTGCCTGATGTTATTGTAGCCAATGCTGTGCTGAGGCTCTGAGGTCTGTGACTGCCTGGTCACTGTGTGTGCATGTGTGTGCATGTATCTCTGTGCACGCACGCGTGCACACACACACACATACACACGTGCACTTTATGAAACATAAACTGAACCAGGACCTGCCCAAATCTGTGTCAGAAGGTACAATGGGGAGCGTAAATGTGATCAGAATAATTACATACATGGAACCCCACCTGCCAAAACCATGTGGAGGTAGGAGGGAGACCAGGGTGAGGGAGCGAGGGGGAACTATTGCAGTGTGCTGTCTACAAATGCACCATAATTAAACCCATGACCCTGTATAACCAATGTACACTCATAAGGAAGATGCAACACTTTTTAAAAATTAAGAAAAAGAAGGTGCCTTCGCTCACCCCTTTTAGGACGACTGCCTGTGTACCACGGAACGCATGGTGACCTTCGCTGGCCAAGCCCCAGAGAAGGGCAAGAAAGCCTTCCCAGACTTTCCCGTGGCCCAGGGTTTGGCTCTGGGAGTGTAATGCAGAGGGCTGGACTGCCCTGGGGCTCAAGCTCAACTTCAAGTGCAAAGAGCAGTCTGTCCAGTGCACTTCCTGGACCATACACAGACATCTTCCTGTGAAATCCCCAGGGCAGAAGCTCTCTGCTGTCTCAAGAATAAACCACAGGGGCAGCAAGACAGCTGACATCACAGGGTGCAGAACCTTTAAACCCAGGAAATTTTTATTCTTCCCAAGAGAGCTGAAAACACCACAAAAAACAATTGGCATTTCTCACTAACCATCTTTTTTGAAGTTATGACATTATGACGTTTGCTAAGACTGGAATTCTACTGTGGGGATCATTCTTCATCTCATTCTAAAACACAAATACGAGACCAGGTGCCACATCATTCACCCTGTTCTGCAAAAAGTGTTATCAAATCTGTCCACCTCTCAGCACAGTCACGAGTATCAAGTGAGCCAGCAGGAAAGCTGTCCTGCGTCTGTAATCCCAGCACTCAGGAGGCTGAGGCAGGAGGATCTCTGAGTCTGAGGCCAGCCTGGGCTACAAAGTGAGTTCAAGGCCAGCTATGAACTACATAGTGAGACCTTGTCCCCCCAACAAAGAAAAAAGAATCAAGTGAGATGATGCCTTCTGTGCCCCCAAAGTCTCTCCCTGCTGAGTTTCAGGGTGCCCAAAACCACAAGACATGTGGCCCACATGTTTGACTTCCATCAATGGCAATCCAGGATATTTTTATATTAGTAAATATGCACATTATGAAGTCAAATTCAAAATTTTGCATGATTTTTAAATGCAAAAGATTCTACTTCAAACTATGGGGATCACAGAAAACACTCAGAATCTGTTCTCAGATTCTCTGCTGGCAAAAATACTTTTTCTCTTTCTTTCCTTCTTTTTTTCTCTCTTTTTCTTTCTTTCTGTGTGTGTGTTTCTTTTTGTCTTTTTCTTTTGGTTTTGGTTTTTGTAGTCAGGGTTTCATTATGTAGTTCAGGCTGACCTCAAACTCTCAGTAATCCTCCTGCCTCAGCCTCTTGAGTGCTGGAATTACAGGCGTGCTCCACCATACCCGGTTCTAGTCTCTTGGAGACGTCTTCTTAGGGTATCCTCACCCCAGGTAATGCCTGGCTTCCAGCAGCAGTGCTGTGAGCTCTCCTGTGCTTCTGCAGCAGGCTCACATCTGCAAGCTTACATCTCACAAATATAAATGAATGTTGGAAATTTTTCTGGCATCGATCAGAAGGATGATTCTAACAATCCTATCACCTTGGGGCAAGACCTATCCAGAACGTCAGGCCCCCGCACTGGTCCAGGGCCAGCTTCTGGGTACCCACACTTCTATAAAACACCTTCGGAGATGTTGCAGTGAAGAATAGCACCCCTGCATGAATTTCAGATACTTCATTCTTACCTGGTACCAGGTCACCTCTGGCCTGGGTGCGTCCCCTTGGCAGCCGAGACCAGGACAGTGAATGGAGCCAACGGTCCCGAGAATCAGGTACTGCTTATGGGGTGCAGAGGTGCTGCAAGGTGCTGCTGTCTGAGGCCTCACCTCCAGTATTGTCTTGGTACAGCAGGCCCCGTCCTGGGCACTCCTAGGAGAGTAACAGTTCCTGTGAACACAGGTATTTCCCAAGATCACAGCGCACTGGGGATTGCTTGTGGGTAGGCATGCATGTGGGACAGACCTGATCCTGGGTCTACAGATGTATGTTCCAGCCTGGGCTGTCTCTGGGGCACTGAAACGAAGTGTGTTCTTGTCCTGAGCCATGTGAAGGTGGCCACCAGCAATCTCCTCCACTGGACCCCCATCTCCACGCTGTCGGTACCACTGGACATCAGTGAGGTCCTCACTACCACTGCAGGGCGGGGATCCAGGGCTCGGTGTTGGGCTCTGTGTACTTCTGTGGGAGAAATGTGCTCTCCGTGGCTCTGGGAAGTCACAAAATAAGACAAACTCCTCTTCTTTTCCTGGGGAGTATGTCCACAGGAGTTTTTCTGTGGAACAGCCTGACGACCACAATAAAAAAGCAACACAGGAACATATCAGAAGATGGAAATCCAACTCATACGCACAAGTAGCTCTGGGTATAAAGGGTGCAGCTGCACGTGTGTCCATCAGCACTAAGTCCGTTGTATAGAGAAGGGAAGCTCACGTCCCAACTCCCTCCCAGGAGGCTGCAGCATCATGGACCGGCTTCCTGAGCTGTCCGGGGTCCTCTTCCGTCGCCCCACAGCCACCTGACTATGTGGGCTGGGCTCCATCCATACTGGGGATTAGCTAAAAGCTTTTCAAGCTACCAGTCTCTCCCTACTGCCCTGCTAAAGGTAGGAAGTGCTATGTGTGAATATGTCACCTCCGTATCTGTCAGATGATCTGTCACTCTGGGCCTGAGTGTGGGAGTGAGAAGTGAGAATCCTACCTGCCTCATTCAAGCTTGTGATCCTCTCACTGGTCACGAGCCAAAGAAACACCCAGCCCCAAAGGAGCATGGTCCTCACTGGTCACTGTCACACCTCACACGTCCTTCTGTCGCCAGCGTGGAGGACACAAAGAACACGGAGTCTGAGCCCTTGTCAGGGCACCATTTCTAAACCGGGAAATGGGGAAACCAGAGCCTGTGACCAAAGCGCAAGTCATACAGGAAACTTTGACAGGGTAGGACCCACCCAAAGGGGCAGCCACAGGCCAGGGAAATGGGGCACTTCCAGCAATGAGAGCAGCTCTTCCTGTGAGCTCCTGCCTGCACCCCCAGAGGAGGGGCCACCCCAAACCCCGGGACCCATGACCGCCACCAGATAGGAGGGAGAGAGGTCTTCTGATGCTGTTTCCCATGCATAGGATTCCTTTTCTTTTTCTTGTAATGTTCTCATCTATTGTGTCTATTTCTATGAGTAAGTTGGAAAAAGTTAAGTTTACATTATCCTGAAAAGATTGGCCCCAGGTGTAGAGAATGGCCTCTTTGTCACAGCTCTGGGGAGACGCTCTATGTGCAGTGTGAGGTTGCGACTCTGGAGAGTCCTCCCGGTCACTGCTGTCAGAGAGCAGAGGGAAGGAGGGGTCACCACCTCCTCACAGATCCCCGGGGAAGGATCAGAGCCTGCTGTGTCTGTCATGCCTTGTTCCTTTTGCTGAGAGACTTTTAAACCATTCACAAGCAATTTGAGAAAAGGATATGGTCTGTGTAATATGTGATTATTGCTTAATTTTGTTCAAGCAGAAAATAGGAAGGGTTTGTCTTTGTTTCAAAGATTTATTACCAGTATCATAAAAACAACTCATGGGCAGGGGATTTAGCTCAGTGGCTCTGCCACCTGCTTCACAAGCTCAGGGTCTCAAGTTCGATACCTGGTTCCAAATAAATAAATAAATTTTTAAAATAAATAAAAACAACTCGTGCCTTGTGATCAAGTTATAAGGATAATGAGTTCTGCTGAATGTTGGCTAAAATTTCCCCCTAAACACTGTTATGTTACCTTTGGACTGGAGGGAGGTGAGGGTAATAATAGAGACCCTGTTTCCAAGGTCCACAGTGTTGTGGAGATCAGAGGTAAAGCAAAAATTATTCTGCATCATTTAAATGGTAAAGAAGAAGTCTTTGTTCTAGATGACAGCCACAGGCACAGACAGAAAACTCAACTCCTAACACCAGGACAGCTGTCCGCTTCTGAGCCAAGGGGTAGGGGATGTCACTGAGGGACATCATGGACCAGGCCCCCTTGCTCAGCCTACCAGACAAAGGGTGGAACGAGGAGACCAAACTGTCAGGGGTCATCAGGAGCCAAGGGTGGCATGGCCTGGGACCATTTTTCCAAGTGCCTCCCCCTTTCTCAAAAGGAAACACTTGGTTTTTCTTGCCTTATAGATGTTTCATCTCCAGCCACTCCCTAGCCCTCACATACCATGTCCCCACCATCTCCAGGAAAAGGAAAAGCAGGTGACTTGACTATCTATACATCAAGGTTGGTGGAATGGTCAGGGGCAGAGCATTTGCCTAGCATGGACACTGCCTTGGGCTCAGCCCAGCACAATGATTAATAATCAATGTGTCTCTAGTGGAAACCATGATCTGGAGGTGTCCTGGGGGCCCAGCTGGAGCATTCCAGGGTGCTACAGACCAGAGTGGGACTCAGAGAGGGATCAGGGTGATAGCAGCCAGAGGGACATCACAGCCAGGGTGTCAGGAGCCCCAGAGGAGGGGAAAGGTGAGTTCCACAAAGAGCAGCACCATTGAAGCTTGGGTTAGGCCATGGGAAGGTGACTGTGATGAGCCCAAAGATAAGAAGAGGAGAGACCACCAAGCATTAAGTGAGTCAGAGTCCAGAGGGGATGCTGGGCACAGACATTAGAAACCAGAGGGTCATGCATGAGTATACTGCATAGAGTCTACTCAGTGTGGCCACGGGTAGCCAGAGAGGGACTCACACTCCCTCTAGAGGATGAGAGAACAGGGTTCCAGGGAGGAGTAGGTCACAGTGAAAGTGCTGGTCACAGCAGGCAAGACAGACCCATTCTCCATGTCCTGGGCAGGAGCTGATCTTGTAGCAGAGGTGGGCAGCGCACACAGGACCAGACCCGTGAGGCCCAGGTCAGAGCCTGAGACTCAGGACACCTCCATCTGGTGGCTCAGAAGCATACATGTGGATGGGACACATGGGTGACTGGGCCAGGACCGGTGTCACTGCGTTCTTTATCCCTTTGGTGAAACTGGAGGCTCTTGTTACAGAGACTGTAGTCAAGAATGAGGTGGGATGGGCTTCTGCTTTTGAAACATCCCTCCTCACTATCATCCCCTGCACCCCAGCACCCCCACAGAACCATCTCCCCATCCCCAGCTCCAGGAACATCTTAAGAGCTGGGCTGAGCCACTGAGGGCTGAAACCATGCCCTGTCACACACAGGACTGAGACACGGCACCAAAACCCTGTGGGATTCCATGTCTCCTGGCCACTTCTGACTCCTCCTAGAGATACTGCCCTGACCACCAGGGTGGGGAAGCCCTCCTGGCCCCTTCTCAGGGCATCAGACAGAAACCCAGGCTCTGATTCTTCCCTTTATGCTAGCATCACCTAAGCACAACACACACTCTTAGCTAAAAATATCTCATCCTTTTTTTTTTTTTAATCCTGAGCCCTGAGGTTTGAACCCTCACCCTTTGCACTGAGCTATGTCCCCAGTCCTCTTTAACTTTTAAAATTCTGAGACAGGGTTTTGCTAAGTTGTTACATTGCCAGGCCTGGGTTTGAACTTTCAATCCTCCTGCCTCAGCCTCCCAATGTGCTGCCATGATAGGCACACACCATTATCCCTCATTCTTAAAACTTCCTCCTCAGCAGGGAGGGAGGCTGGAGAAACCAAGTTTGTGCTCCCTGGTAGGCCCTACCTCCCCTCTCCAGGAGCTGTGCCTAGCGGGGTAGCTGGAGCCTGAGAGCCTTCTGAGAGTTGATTTTTTTTTTTTTTTTCACTCCTGTAGGACCCTGGTAACTCAGCCTCATCATCCAACTACATTTGAGCTCTGAAAGCACAGAAGTCCTATTTCCAAAATCATGTCGATGTCCAATGCAAAATAAAAATCAGTTCCATTGACAAAATATGTGAAAAACACTTCAGGAGAAATCAAAACAAATGCCTATCGATTTATTATAGGAACTGTGTGACTCCGGATAAGTCACTTGGATTCTTTGGGGGCTTTACTTTTAGCTGCAAAGTAAGTTTATTCAGCAGTCTCTCCACCTTAGATCTAGGTAGAGCATTATAATTTTTAGGGGTTAAACAAGAAATCTGTTACTTTAACACCACCAACAACAAGCACTCCAGATGCGTAAACCACAGGATGAGATAACCCCTCCCGGCTGACTGTACCACTCTGCAACCCCATGTCTGAATGTCCAGGCCTGTAGTTAACTGGGTACGGTGCCTCCCTCAGGGCTTCCCATCCCAAAGTGGAGATGAGAGACGGCCCTCTGCCATGTGTGATGCCCGCCCGAACCAGGGGCCGCATTACCTTGGTACAGTATTTCTCCAATATTCTGATGACAGACGTTGTTAGTGACAACTGCATAGCCATGTGTTCCCATGGTCTTATTCAGTGAGACTCCCAAGGAGAGCAGGGGTCCCTGCTCTGTGACAGAGTCAAGATGGTCACCATGACGCATGAGGGGAAGCCCTGTTCAGCAGAGGGGGATGGAGCTGAGCAGAGTTCGGGTACCTGTTGCTGTTACTTTTGGCCACTCAACAACAAACAGAAGGATAAGCTCACCCTGGAACCTCACTTACTGCCCAGCTCACTCCTCTGGGCCCAGCCAGCCTTTAAGATCCCCTAATGTCTGAGCAATGGCTTTCATCCCAACATTCCACAGGGCTTCCAGGAATTGTAAGGAGCCAAGAGAGTGCGGCTTTGGACAACCTACACCAAACTAGGCTGCGAGCTCTGCTCATAGAAGGGAAATAACAGGCAAGTGGCATGGAATAATTCATTCACCATCTGCAGATGTGCATTGTCTTTCTCACTTACCAGTGGACAACCTCGGCCTGCGAGGCTGGGAGTAGCGGAACCATCATGCATGATAACGATGTACTTGCTGCAGGCTAGAGGTTCATATCCAGATGCAGGGAGTCCCAAGGCTTCCAGCTTGCTATCACCACATGCTGCAGGTTGCAGAAAGAGAGGACAACCAACAGGCTGACTTCAGAACTCCGCAGGATCCCTTCCCTCTCCAGAGCCTTTTCCTGATGTACTTTTGGGGAGTCCGGATTTCTTTTGTCACAGGATGAAGGTTTCCCTGGCAGGTCTATACTTTCAGCTACATTTGGGAAAAAGAATGAACTAAAATTTTCACTGATTAAAGCTTTTGATGGGAGAAGAGAGAGGAAAATGGTAACTAAAGCAATTCTGCCGCCCAGAGGAACCTCTCTTAAGCACAAGCCTAAAACACATATACAAATATAGTTGGGGTCAGGTGTGAGAGAAACACCATTAATTCAGCTGATATTTTGATTCTCATATAACTTCCAGAAGTTTCAACCCCATTGTTGAGAAAGAACAGAAAATGTGTAGTGCCCAACACCAAAGTTGCTATGGTTGAGTCTAGGTGGCAAACATTTTAAAACCCTCTATTTTTTAAATATTTGTTTGTTTGTTTGTTTGTTTATTGGTACAGGGGATTGAACTTGGGTCCTTGTGCTTGCAAGTCAGGCAGCAGCACCACTGAGCTAAATCCCCAGCCCTCAAACCCTCTAGGTTTAACTAGTCCCATAAAATGCTCAAAGCACTGTACAAAATTGTTTATACCCACCAGTATTGTTTTAATGGAAAGCTTCCTATATGAAGATACAAATGTTGCCAGTTGGACAGCACACTGGTTATTCTCACACATTTCAGGAACAATAATTGTGTTAGCAACTCATTTTGAAAATTATTTAAACTCTTTTCTCAATTTCTATTTTCAGATTAGGAAAGCTAGTGGAAAAAAGTATTATTATCTTACCTTTA